GATGTTGTGAAAGGGTTTTTCTTTACCACGGAGAGGATTCTCCGATCATCCACCACTGTTGTCCTCCGTGGACGTCCAGCCTTTTTATGTTGCTGAGCTCACCAGTGCTTTCTTCTTTTTTCTTCTTCTCAGAATGCACCAAACTGTTGATTTGGCCTCTCCTAATGTTTCTGCTATCTCTTATGGATTTGGAAATAATGGAAATAACAATTGTCTGTTTCACTTGTATGGAGATCTTTGACCGCATGATGTGGTTCACAGCAACAGCTTCCGAATGCAAATGGCAAACTTACTTACTTTTTCAACTTAGTTCAACTCCAGAACTTTTACCTGCGTAACTGATGTAGAAATAAGGAAGGAATAGCCCACGCCTGTCCATGAAACAGCTTTTGAGTCAACTGTCCAATTACTTATGGTCCCTTGAAAAGAGGGGAGGTACATATTAAAGAGCTGTAATTCTTTAACCTTTCCTCCAATTGTGATGAGAATACCCTCAAATTAAAGCTCAGAGTGTGCACTTTAAGCCCACATACATTATATAACTATATGTATATAATATGTAACTTGAATGTTTTGGTCAGCAGCTAAAATAATAAAAATTGTGCCTGTGTCCAAATATAGTATATACGGACCTTACTGTATATAGTCTCCTGAGAACCACAGGAATGAATAAATAAACCAATGGTATGAAAGATATTAGAGAATGATTTGACATAGCCTACCATTTTCCTTTATACAATATATGCGTAAACAGCCAAAAATGGATTTTCCCATTATAATCAATGTATCCGGTGCCTATAATTTGCATATTAATGTGTTCTTTGGGCAACATGTAATGAAAAATAAGTATAATAATGAATGTAACTAATAACTTTTTAGTAACATAACATATCAAATCTGTACCGCAAAAGGGCCCCCTCAACATCTGGCAACACGCAGGTGGAGACCTCAACTAAGGTACGCCTAGTTATTTATCTATTGTGGTAATTTGCTGGTCGTGTCAAAAAGTTATTGATAGATAAATAGCTGTATTCTGTACATTTGACTCGTGCACGGTCCTTTTCTTCCAAACACGATGATTTTGAGATTTTGGACTTGGATATTTCCAATCCGGCAACACCGCTTCAAAGCACGCATGGAAAACAATCCGACAATAATGCAAGCAACTGAGAGAAAGACACTGAGAGAGAAGAAAAAAGAAGAAGAAAGAAATGCTGGCAATTGAAGAAATAGCGCAGTTTTTTTCTTTCTCTGACGTGCTTTCATGTTTAGATTTGTTTCCTATGTGCTCAGCCTGTCATTTAGCTGTTAGTCGTAGTCCCAGTCGTAGCAATGACCCAGAGGACACCCTGATTATACAAGACACTCTACTGATCATTTATAATCAGTAATCAGTAATTGTATGAGTTTGCATGTTTTCTCTTTATTCAAGCCAAGTAATTCATAAAAGGAGCAGAAGTTTAGTTTTGAATGGCTGACACAGAAGTATGTGAGCTTTCTGAATTCAAATGAATTATTTTACAAAATAGGAGTTTGCAGTTTGTTTATATTGTTTACCGCCATTTTTGGCACTATAAACAAACCCAGTGTGGAAGAGTCACAGGAACAGTGGACAGTAGAGGGCAGTAAAGAGCCAGGCATTCATGACATGCACATCGAGTTATGACCTTTATGACCTTTATTTGCAAATAAATGGTCCAAAGCTTTTTTTCAGTTCATATGGTTCCTACAGGTTTCACTGCTTAGACCCAAATAATTATATATTAAAATATCTCTCTCTCACACACACACACACACACACACACACACAAACACACACACACACACACACACACACA